GAGCATGCATTCCCTCACTGAAATTTGCATAAACGTAGCCAGCCAATCAGGACTTGCCTACCTAAATATGTGTCAAACCCCACAGTATATAAGGCAACACCATTACTGTCTACTATCCTTTTTCTTTTCAGTGAATGGCAATTTTACCCACAGCCCGTTCCAGGAATGGAGTCGCTGTTTCAGAAACCTGTTATGTTCTGGCCTCATCGCTGGCACAGACCTTAAGGACTACTACGTCAAGCTCCTTGGTGCAGACCCTGCAGAGAGTGGCGTTTAGAAGCCACCAGCCACTTCAGACGCTCTGACTTGATGCTTTGCTGCAATAACAGTTAGCTGGAGCTCAGATCAAAGACATCGAGAACCCAGCAAAAACCACTAACACCTCGCTGTAGCCTCCAATTATCCCCACTGATACTACGGCTTTGTTTGTTGATGATAACGACAACATCTTATTAGTGTCCTGTAAATCAGCATCCCACCAGAGTCCACTGTAAACATCTCTCCAGTGGGATTTTTGTTGGTGATGACCATCACAGTGGGCTATTTTAGGCTCCTCAGGTGATCGTTTTTTAAATTAAAGGATGTATACTTTTATGTCAAGGTGGCTCCTATACACAGGAAATTCTTGTGTTTGTCTTCCAGGGGATAGCTTTTCAGCAGTTCCCTGGCACCTGGCACTTTCGGCAAAAGTGTGGGTGCGGCGCTTCTGCCACTGCACATGTGTGAGGGTCTTCTTTTATCCCAGTGACCTCATCATTATGGCCAAATCCAAGAATTGGGTGATATTCCACACAGCCCTGTTGATCTTCTACCCCACCAAGTTGCAATTTTTGATCAACTGGAAGAAGAGCAGCCCCCTGCCATATCATCAGGTGGAGTATCTGGGGTTTTACTCGACGTGCAGATTTCAAGCCACCCTGCCTCAACACAGACAAATGGCCCTGCAGCAGACAGTTTGAAAACTGCAGCGAGGTGCATTGGTGATAATGTTGGTGGTCATGCAGGCACTTGGGTTCATGGCAGCTGCCAGTTCAGGGCCACTGCCCATTCCAAGTCAGTCTGCCCTTGCTTGGATGGTAAGAAGAACAAGCAGTGCTTGGGTATCCATTTTCCCTCAGTTGAGGGTGACCTGCAATACTAGGAGTTCCACAACACCTGGTGAAGGGAACACTGCTGGGATGAATGACTTCCTATGTCACAGTGCTCACTGATACGTCCTTGATGGGATGGAGAGGGACCTGCCTGGGGAGGTGGTTTGTGACCTCCAATGACACCAGGTGAGAGGGCTTCACGAGTGCATCTCCTGAGCCTATGGGCAGGCAAAAAGAGACTCCCACCGTGGTCCACCACTATAGTTCATGCACACTCTACACAGCACTGCACAAATTCAGGTAGGCACTTCCTGATTGACCAGCTACATTTATGTAAATTTCAGAGGGGAATGCATGCTTATGATTGCAGCAGAGTACTACCTCCTAAGTCCAGCAGAGGGCTCCACCTTAACAGAACAAGGGTTACAATATCGTACCCTTCTTTGTATTATTTGAATTAAATTTAAATTGCACTGTCTTGTTAAACTGGATTTAGCTATTGGTGTTATTTCATAGTCAGACCTACAAAATTGTTTGTAATTTCATGCTGCCTACATGCAGATATTCAGTACAACAGAAAGAACACATCAATCTAAATAAAGATCATTCAACCAAAATCCATAAAGTTAAAACCTCTCTCTAAGAGACTTACAATTTATGTACATTGGGAATTCTTAATGGTACATTTTAAAGGCTATTATGAGCTGATTGACATTTATCTTTATAAAGTGAAATCTCCTGATAACCTAAACATGAGGAAAATGTCCATACTGACCTCATAATTCAAAGCCTTTTTATCTTGTCATACATGTGAGGAAACATAAGCTATTTCAGAATGTGTTGAACAATGAAAGCATGCTTCATGTTGTAGGATATCTATGACGTATTTCTGGTAAAATCCTCTTATAAAATCCAAACATACGGTAGAATGAAGAGGAGCACAATGGAACTGTATTTTTTAAAATGAACAGTGAATTGCGCTCCTGTCAGAGCAGCTGCTATGTAAGCTGTATATCTCTGCACTGCTGGCCCACAGACAGCTGGAGAACTATTGTTGATGAAAAATTAAAATGCTAATTGAAGCCATCCATCTGACAGTAGGCCAACACCATGCTCAGTGTTTTACAGCTCAAACAGCGACAGTGATTTGGACACAGATGGACAATGTCGGAGTGGGTCCAGAGCCATTACATGCACCGGGACAACACAGTGTATAAATAAAAACTAAGCTCAGTATAGGTCACACACACACTATTGATTATGGTGTCAGCATGTCACCCTGCCAGGAAGGCAATCCATTTAAATGCCCAAACAGTATGTCCATAGTTACGACTGTCAGTCATGGGGATGTAGATCACGCACACACATAGTTACACTATATTAGGGCTGCACTATACATCGTTAAAACATAGCCATCACGATGTGCGCATGTGCGATAGTCACATCGCAGGACATGCAATGTTTTCTCTTTTTTTGAACATGTAAACTTTTGTTTTGCTTCAGAAAAGCAGCTCTGAAGAAAGCTCCTTTCTCCGCTCTGCTCACCTCTCTCTATCTGTCTCTCCCTCTCTGAGCACTCAGCAGCCCCTCCCCCCTCTCATGCACATACTGCAGTCACACACTGAAAATGAGCGACATGCAAGAGGGGGAGCTGGGGGGTCAGATAACATCAAAAATTTTGCCTAGGTTCGGCCCACTTGACATGCTGCTGTGTTGTGCTATGGCCTATTTAAGTGCTTGAATTTGTTATTTACATGACAACGCCTGAATGCAACACAGGCTCCGCTCCATTAGTGCCATACTGTGGGTTTGGGCCGGGCTCGGTTAAAATTGTCTCTTTCTTGGGTCGGGCTCAGTCAGGAAAATGCGTCCCGAGCCATGCTCTAGTGTGCTCACCTGTGTCTGTGTGTGTGGGTGTGTGTGCGTATCGGGCCCGAACTCCGCCGTGAGTGATACAGAGGGCAGAGAAGAATTGTAAACGTGCGACCATGTAGAGATGATGACATAAGATAAATAACATAAGGCTATTTAGTTTGTTTAATTAAAGGACATGGTATAAACCTGTTCTATAGGAAAGGCAACCTTAAATGACTTATGTTGTAATCTGGTGCTATATAGAAAATAAAATTAAATAAAATTAACTTGACCTTCAAGGGGGCCCCCTCAGTCCTTGATATTTTTTGAGCTTCTCATGTTCCTTCTGCCTGATGTTACCATCACTCGGGATTGTTACATCTATCACCACTGCCTTCTTCTGTTGTTTGTCCATTAACACAATGTCCAGTTGGTTAGCCATCACCAGTTCTTCAAGATCTTAGCTTAGTCATTCTCAACCACGTGAGGAGGTGTCTCCCATTCTGACCTTGGGAGCTCCCGGCCATACTCAGTGCAGATGTTTCTTTACACTATGAAAACCACTTGGTCATGGCGTTCCATGTACACTGTTCTTGCCTGCATCTTACACCCTACTATTATGTGCTGAAATGTCTCAGGAGCATCTTCGCACAGCCTGCACCTGGGGTCCTGTCTGGTGTGGTAGACCCCTGCTTCTGTTGATCTTGTACTAAGTGCCTGTTCTTGTGCTGCCATGATTTGTGCTTCTTTGCTGTTTCCCAGTCCAGCTTTTTCCAGCCACTGGTAGGATTTCTTGATGTTGGCTGTGCAGGGGCTTGTCCTTCCATGATGTTTCATCCTCCTCTTCTGCATTCTTGGGTTTCTGCTGCCTGACATATTCACTTAGCAGCTCATCTTTGGGGGCCATCTTTCTGATGTATTCCTGGATCTTGGTTGTCCACAACCAAATACCTACACAGAGTAAGGCAGGTCCTGACAAGTCGGCTGAACAGACAGAATCTTGTCCAAGCATCAACACGTATACCCTACCAGTCATCAGATACCCTGCTGGTATAATAAGCTGGCCAAAGGAGGAGATAGAGGCCACTGATGTCAGGACAAGGAAGCTTCTCATGATATATGGGGGGTGTCATCCCATGTCCAGTACCCTGACTTCCTTGTGGGCTCCTCATGGTTCCCATTTGCCTGCAGGACCCCAAGGTATTTGTAGCTGTCCTGAAAATCTGCAATGCTGCCTTCTGGTAGATCAACCCCCTCTGTTCTGAGTATCTTTCCTCTCTTTGACACCATCCGACCACACTTAACTAGTCTGAATGACTATCCTGTCTGTAGATCCTGGCATACAGCTTGATGTCATCCATGTAGAGGAGGAGGAGGTAACTGATATATATATATATATATATGTATATTAGTTGAGAAAATTGTAGGTACCCCCCTGAAATCAAGTACTGCGGAATACCATTTAATTTCCACTCCTGCACCATAGAGAGCATCCTGACTGGTAACAAAAATTGCCTAAAGGATCTTTACTTCGGGCACTGCAAGAATAAGGCAGATAATCATTAGAGATTTCAACCACCTGGATACCAGCCTTTTCTCCCTGCTGAGATCATGAAGAAGGTACTGGATACACGTGCACTCCAACTCTGAACAAACCCAACAGATTCCTGAACACAGGTTTACCTGTGGCTTATACTAGTAAGCCAGACACAACCTGTGGTAAGACAACTTTGGATTTACTTGGAGGTGCTAGCCACCAGCCAATACCTCAAGTCTATGAAGTATCCTATGAAAACCATGTTTTCATTGAATATCATACAGATCTGACAGCCATGTTTTAAACATTGATACCATAACTTTTAATAATAAATAAATTATATCATACCCTTGTACTTTTTAATAAACTAGTGTGGCGGAGACCACAATGTAAGCAATTTTGCATTCACATAGTAAAGAAAAAACTGTAGAACAGTATGTTTACTAAATATGAATTTTCCATGACAGTATCGGAAGACAGACATATGCTGAATAGATGGATGTTGGTCCGCCCCTTACCTGGACCTCCACTCCATAGCCCATATAGACAGTGATGATGTAGCTACAGTCCATAGTGGAGTGAAAAGCTGAGCTGGTCTGTGGTGGAGCCTCTATGTATCCTTCTGGCCCAGTCAGGTTCAGCTGGCAGGGAACTGCAGGGACATACAGCAGCATGAAAATGATTCTCATGGAAGCAGTGTGGATAGACACACAAGACACACAGACACAGACACACACACAGACACACACACACACACACACACAATGGTATAAACATTGTGTGAATACCCACATCTGCTCACAGGCCTTTGCAAATATTACTAAGTGCTCTCATTATCTTGTGTGTGCTCCCATGGCGATCACATCTCAATATCCACATTAGGTAGGCAGATATGGCAGACGTGTCAACATTCATGGTGTGTCTCAGGTCAAGAGAGGTGATGCTGGATACTCTCAAGACACCTCTACAACATGCAAGGCAAGGGTCCCATGACCAACTGCAAATTACTTTCCACAAGCTTGCTACCTTGGCTGATAAATATCTGCCTAATATTCTCATTCTGTTTCTTCATACTGAAACTTTCCTACGATTATTTTCCTCCCTGGAAAAAAAGTGATTTTTTTTAATTGCCCAAGTACTTTTTTTCCAACAGTTCAAAGGTTTGCCAGGATCATTGGTTGAAATCTGTGAAAATGTAAGTCATGGTATCAGGGACACACTTTATTATAGTAAACAAATGTTAGTTTTGCTGTCGACTTAACCTAAGTTGTAGCTGTTGGTTAACCATAAACAATATGTTTACCAGCTAGCTAGCTTGCTAACTGCATTTTAGTGCCAACTGAGATACATTTCAAGCCAAAAGAAAGAGGTGGCAGTAACACATTACATAACTAGCTGACACAAAACATATTCACCCTGTGTAGAGTGCATTGAGAAATTTAAACTAACCTAGAAAAAAATATGAATGTTTTTAGCTCTATCCAGAGCATGAGGTAGTGGTTCACTTCAGCCTTTTGTTGATTATTAACAAAATTAAGAAATTAAAAAATTAAAAAACACCTGCCGGCATAACTTTTTTTTTTCTCCACCTGTTTTTGGAGTGGAAAGAAAAAAAGGGTTCTGCAGTCATAAACAGATGAGAGAAAACAGTTTAGCCTAGACTTAAATAGATCTCTAGAATACATTTTCCTCACTTGCCTCTGAGGGCTTCCGTATTAAGCCCTGTGAGGTAGTTTATGATTTTGGGCTGTGTAAATAAAACAGATTTCACTTAACATGTCTCTTGGTCATGTGACTTGTCCTGCAAGTAGTAGCAGTCCCTCAATATTCTCCTGTAGCAATGCTCTGCTTATTTTTCCCACATAGAGGACAGGTTGCTCTTAAGATCTTTGATGGGACAGCTTGAGAGAGCAGGAAGAGGTGGAGTCAAGTAACCTTTAATTTGTTATCTTTATTTTTTTATTTTAAAGCCTCAGTGTGTAAAAATGGTGAGTAACAGTGACATCAGCGGTGAAATTCTAGATTGCAGGGCTCACTCGCGCTCACTCGCGCTCACTCGCGCACCCCTCCCGTCGGGTAAGTGACGGTGGCCTCGTAGGACAAAAAGCCTTGCACAGACAGAGATCATCCACGATCATCCACAAGTTTTTCAAGTTTTTCAGGAGTAGGCCTATCTAGCGACGAGGTGAATATTTATTTAGGAATCTAAACCATGTTACGATGTTGTAGCTACCCTGCAGTAAATATTCTGTTATAATGTCAATGTTCTGTGAGTTAATGGCATGTTTGGGATTGAATGAATATAGGTAGGGGTGCGGGGTGCGAGTGTGACGGGAATGAGGGCTGTGTGAGTGCGCGTGCTGGTGTGTGTATGAGCGAGCTGGAGGAGAAAGCAGGAGTGCACAGTTGGAGTTACAGCTAAGTTCTTGTTTGTTGGCTGTTTTGGCGTAGTTACGGCCAACAGTAAACTGTACTGTTCAGTAATAAACGTCATCCTTCCACACGTCCTGGCGAACGCTACAATGTGTTATAGCTTACCAGTGACATATAGGTTATCTGTGAGATATAACGTTATGTTAGGAGTGTTTTATCTCTAATTGTTTTGGTAACACGAGCAAACATTAGCACTGCAATGCTAAAATAACATGTTTTATGTGATAGTCACGGCACAGTGCTGCAAATATAGGTTGGTACGATTATAATATATGCGTTTCCAGAGTGTTCTTCCACAGGAGTTCTTTCCACCTGGAATAAGCAATGCCGATATTCACTCGCATTTTGTCCCGTCCTCACTTATCTGATCTTTTTCTTTTATTTGTTTGCGTGGTTTCCCTCTTAAGTGCAACACACACCGCCGCCGGCGCGGCGCTGTGGCCGTCAAGTGCCGCCCCCCAACACACACTGGCAGTTGCGCTCAGTTGCACCGTTGACGTGTATTTCCCACCCCAGCCCGCTAGGTGGCTGTACCTACACTAGTTGCCAACGGTTGCCAACTGCTAGTAACGGAAGAAGAAGAGGAAAAACTTTGAGGCAACAACAACTTGGATTTCACGGGTGAGTTTCTTATCAAAGTCGTCTAATTAAAAATTTGAAACAACCGGAGTTGATACTACGGCGGCTGAAACGTACATAAAAGGCTTTTCTCGCAGCGCCGCCATGAGCGCCGGCCGTGCTAGAAATAGAGCAGTGGGCTGAAGCAGAGCGGCACGGAGCGTTGGCCGGCTCCAGTGTGGGTTGGTTCATAGAATATAAATCATAAAAGTACAAAGCAGGTTCACGCAGAAACACCCCGGATTGATCTTCACCTTAACCGTCTCCAGTGACGGCAAGTTCTAGGTAAATGTGAAAGGCGAAGCGTGTATATCCTTTTCGGCCACTGTATTCAAAAATGGCGAAGCAAGAGGGCAGCCTCCAGCAGACCGCGCCCTGCCTGTGTATATAGAGAGAAATCATTCTAAGCCTATGAGAAAGCTTCCATTTGTATGTGAATTGCATTACACTTTAGCAAATATATATTTATGAAAGCAATAGTTGATATTTGCTAATAAACAACCACGTAAATTACACATTGTAGCTTTAAGAATTTGGTCACACTGTACATATGTATATACACCTGGCTGAGATTTCACAACAATGCAAGCCAGACCACCTCCAAGTGTGCTCCAGCCAATCCATTCTGTCTGCCTTGCTTTCTGTGTGCATTTACACCTGCATTTACATGAGTTTTTCCTGATCCAGATCAGATACACAGATACAGATCACACATCAATACCAGGAGTAAATGGGGTATTAGTCTTGTTTAGGACAAGATTAACAAACCAGTATAAATCAGTATAGCAATGTCTGGAAATGCAAATACTGTCCAAGCACAGACATTGTTATAAACACACAAACACTCTATCTGACTTTGTTTGAAGGTTTTCCGCCTTTGTGACTGCCTTTCTAAGCAACTAACCCCTGCGATGGGACAGCTGAGGACAGAATATTTCCTAGTGGCCTTTGGGGTTTTCTGCTCCACCACCTTCATCCCTCCCTCTCTCTGAGCTACAAAGTAAACTTTTGCTGAAGTGCTTCTTCATGAAGAACATCCTCTCAGTGTTCCCTCGGCACTTCACCTCAGGGAGTGTCCACTCCAACATTATTACTGCACTACAGTGTTGCCATTCACCCTGTGCCTGGGATTTTGTGTACAGTATTGCGTGCCTTAGCTTTGCCGTCAACCTGCACACAGATGAGCTGATTAATCAAGCTGCTTCCATCTTGCTCTCTCCGACCTGAACAGTTCACTGAGTCACCACTCTGATTTTTTTTATTTTCCCTATCCACTCTCTTCATAACCAACAATCTGAGAGTGTCATGCTGTGGTCCCTGTTTGTTCCTCTTGATTAAGGGTTAGTAATGCAGCGGTGCTGTTGTACTTTATTTCAGCCCCATGGCTGTGTGATCGTGACAGGTGCACATAGAGAAGATATTACTTGATGGTGTGATGACAGAATAAGAGCTACAAAAGTGCACTCAGTAGAATGCAGATCTCTGCCAGGTGTGTCTGGGGGCATGTGGGTAGAGAACCAGGACTGCAGGGCATGTTGTGTGTCCAGTGTGTATGCATGACAGCAGTAAAAAGATGCATAAATAATTTAATGGCATTGTAACTGAGCATCACACTTCCTCTGTGTGTGCTGTGATCCAAGTTTCTCTGTTAAATGTTTTGGTAGCCAGTCCAACCAGGTGCATGTGCAGCCCCACTATGTGCAACCAGGAATTCACTCCTATTCATTGTGTATTGGAAGTGACTGATTTGCTGCACAAAACATTCTGGGATACCTGCAATGCAGAGCAAGCTACTGGTGCGACAAGAGGGCGTGACAATGTGAAAGATTCAGACTTCGCTCAAATCCTGCAACTGGCAGGGCAGTGCATAGGGAAGATAATGCGAATTGGTCTCATATATTGGGGCTGCACTGATACAGAGGACACTGCTGATGACATTATCCCCAAACACGGTGGTGGGACAGCTTTATGCAGAGGCATTTCACCCACCCTCCTGTTAACACTGTTAGGTCCATTAGCACTGTTGTAGTTGCTAGCGTAGTTAGTACTGTTAGTGGGGCTAGAAACTGGGATTTATTTATCTTGAATCATGCCTAACTTTAGTGAATCATAACATGTCATGTATGGATTTATTCTACAGATGTTCTGCTTCAAAATAAGACCAAACTTTTCCATGAATGTATCAACAGCAAACAAACTGGCAAACAATGACCAAATAACTCACTGAAGGTAATGCAGTAGATCATCATGGTTGGTGATGCTCAGTAAAAATTGTACTGTCAAGTTTGAGGAGCACCATGGGGTGTAAGTGACTTAGTGGTTAGAGCAGGCGCCCCATGTACGAAGGCTTAGTCTTTTCTGCGGGTACGATTCCAGCCTGCAGCCCTCTGCATCTCTCCAATTTAATGACACACACACCACGCACACACACACACACACACACACACATTATGCATGATATTATTGATGTATTTGCTGTATGCAATATTTTTTTTGTATATTGTTTCTACCCAAATATTTTATCTATTTGTGTCAATAAAATAACTAACTAACTAACCATGCACACCGCAGCAAATTATTAAAAGGAATATGATAATACATTTCTTATACTTTGTGGTATAAAAGAAGTAATAATCTTACTTGGACTCTGCATGGTGGTGATGACGGTGGTGGTAATTATGGTGGTGGTTGTCTTCTCTTCATCACTGCCGGGCCTCACATTCTGCTTCAGTCCAGGCTGATTTGGGCTCTCCTCATCTTCCTCCCTTGCAGCAGTAGCAGCAGAGGGGATGGTGGCAGCATGTTCTGGATCTTTTAAAACCGCGCTGGTGTCTGGAGCAGGAGTGTTGGAGTGAGAAGTGGGGGCTAATGCATGCATTACAAGCGTTGTTTGCATGTTGGAGCTTTCAGCACTCTCATATGAAGACCTTTTATCATCACTATCCAGTGGAGTCCGGGATGGCAGGGTAGAGCGGGTGGGCTGAGAGCTGGATAACCTGCTGTCTTCAAAGTAGCTCTGCTGACCATGAGGGCTGAACGGGACCTGGTGTTGGGGAGGATTCCTGTAGAGCGGGTAGTGGTTTGGGACATTGACAGGTGGAGCTGTGGTGACCACGGGGAGCCTCCTGCCCGTGTCCTGGGTGGTGGGGTACAGGCTGGCACCGTTCTCTGGAGGGCCCCCTGGGGTGATAGAAAGACCATCCTCAGAAGCAGAGGCTGCGAAGAATGAAAGAGAATAACAAATGTGGTTGGATGGATGTTGAGTCATACCACAGACCCAATAATCACTTGGCCGTGCAGGTGCAGAGATTTCTGGCTTCACTTAACTGCCTGTTTTCTGCTTTGGCTCCAAACCTTTCCATCCACAGCCATTTAGCACACTGCCAATCCCATTTTCAATTGGTAAATGATGGAGAATGTGCTACAGCAAGCAACCAGCCTGTGTCATAACACATCTCTGCATCAGAGGCCACCAAGCCTTCAAGCCCAAAAACATAAAATGCCAAATCAGCCGTATTCTAGCCATATTTAACAGATTTAACATAGTGACATGCCACCTTTTTACTGAAAGTAAAGACAGGATTTCTTCTCCTGTATTTCTTTTCTTTTTGACTGAGGCTATGATTAAACTTTTTACTGGAAAGAAATAGCCATGAAATAACCTTTCTCATCTTACTTCATTACACTTATTTAACATCTTAATGTCAAAATAAAAAATTAAAAAAATAGATGAGGGATATTTATTTTCCTTTTCATCCATGTTATGTTTAACAGGAATAAAAAATGTAATTGCATCCAGTGATGGAACAAATAAGGATTTTAAATTTGCTATAATGCACCAAAATCTGTATACATCCCATGTAATGATGAGCCAGTAATTCATTCATAACCCAACACCCCTCCCCCCCACCCTATTCAGACTTCTGCCTCCTTAATTTTTGTTACTGTCCCACCACATTTCACTCTGACGCCACCAGGCACTGTTATACAATAATGTCAACCGACAACATATTATGTCAATGTGAATGGACAACTTTTTTGTTGGTGTCTAACACCAGAAGTGACTGACCAAGCACCGGTTTTTGATGACTTCAGAGTGAGACTGGGAGAAACCTACCCTTTGTAGCTTTATGTTAATTACCTAACTTGGTGTTAAGGATGTAACATCATTTGTGGTGCACTAATTTGTAGGATATCATCCAAACTGATGTATAAAGGTGTGTTGCTGTGTTTGGTCTTTTTTTTCCCTATAACAAGAAACATCCTCCAACATGGCCAATGAGTTTGCAAGTTTTATGTTGATGGACCACAATGTTTATCATCAAATAAAATCAATCTATTAGCCTCCACAGGACATGTCTGAACCAGTCAGGACCAGAAAAGGTGTTGGGGTGCTTTTACCAATGCAGCATCTGACCCTCCTTTCCCCTAGCCTGGAAATCCAGACCCAAATCTAGAAAAATTTAAGATCTGGCCAAGAGTAATGAAAATGGCCCAACTTGAGGGGCGGCACCAAGCATGCATTTGTACATATCACTGCACACAATTGGATAACACTACGACCAATCAGAACAATACACGGAGTGACGTATACGCTTAGCTACCAGCGGAGCTAACTGGTAGATTAGACTCTTGCCGTATCCTGTTTGCAAAACATTAAAAACGTCCTTCTTGCAAAGGAAAGACTCGAGCGCCGTCCTCTGTTCCTCTTTTAGAGAAAAAGCCAAGTCTAACTCGTTCATTGTAGCGGCCAAAGCCGTTTCAAACAACTGGTGTTCATCCGTAGCCATCTTGCAATATTTACTGACTGATTCCGGACTTTGTCGTCGCAGCACTGTCGTCATCTGTTTAGCTCACCTCCGGCCCGCCTGTATCAGATACACCGATGTGATTGGTGCAGCTCGGTTTCATGGGCATAGGTAATAAGCATCATTACTGATTGCCAGAGTGATTCGCTGAGCAAATTCAAATTGTGCTCTCGCAAAAACTCTGGATTTCCAGGGTACCTTTCCCCTACACCATGTCAGAATTTCCTCCAACAATTTCTGTAACCAAAAATCACATTCATGCCTTCTTGACACAGTGATGGGTCAGGTATGTGAAGGTAAGAAAGTAAGCAGGGCTTGAACCTCTTTCTAAAGCTCTCTTTATTCATTCTTAATACATCTATTTCTGTCACAACTGGGTGCAACAACACAAGTGCCCTTAAGGATACCAAACTATTTCACTCTGCATGATGGCCATTTTTTGTCCCGCCTCTGAATGTTGCCATGCAGACCTACTAAATCTTTGTCTTTTGATGTGGTCAGAGAACACAACCCATTCTCGTTCCAAAATCATCACATACTGCCACTCTATCAGGGATTTCTGTGTCAGACACAGATGAGAAAAGCCATTCTTTCACTATGGTATGAGACAACACTAGGCGGCATCAGTGGGTGTTTCTCAAAGTCAAGTACCCATCCACCCAAGGAAGGATCCTGCAGAGGTAAGGCAAGAGTCCTCCCTTGCACTCAGTGAACACACATTGGAACAGGTTAACAAGTGTCCCCATGTGATCATCATTAATCCTCAGCAAACTAAGGGGGTTTTAGGGTGCTGTGATAATTTTGGCACTCTCTAATGTTGTTGTACAATTTTAAACAAATGTATCAGTATTGTCAGAATCATGTGACTTTTAGAGAGAATATATTTCTGGATCATATTTAGGAGATAAGACAGCAGCTGAAAAAAGTTCTAAGTTATCATTTATAGTATATACACAGACTCACACATAGAATCACTCATTTCAAAGTGATCCATATTTTCTGTGTGTCACCACACATTGTGCTACAATAATATGAACTACGGATCTGATCTGATGAGCTGCGCTGCTCAGAAACAACTGAGCACACCGGTTGTACATGATACCGCCGGGTAATCCACTGAAATAAATTCACCTCAAAACAAATGAGTGTTGCTTTGCCCTGCAGGATATTCTAATGTGTCTACTCTGGCCATTCTCACCATGATTCCCCCGAAAAATGCACCTATTGAAACTGACAGAATGAAAGCAATTACCATGTCGTTGTCATGTGAATAGCGGGAGGTGGAGGGGAGGGGGACACTTAGCGCTCCATCTCTGCTGTTAATAATTAATTTCAAAACTTCTATGTTTTATCTAAATCACGTTATTTAAAAAATCTCATTGTTTGGCAGTGGATGCAATGAAAAGTGTAAATTATGAAGTTTCTGTCAATATTTTTTCCACGCTTGTATGATAAAAACTCTGAAGACATTGATCCAAATAAATGGCATATTTATCAAAATCTTGCCGAGCTCCAGCTCCGGGCTCCGTTTCATTGCAGAGGCCCCACCCTCACTTCCAGCAAATCGTGCGCAAAGCATTGTGGGGATTTTATACCCGTGGAGGATCTACACATGCATCCTTCCAGTTTCTCTGAAAGAAGGACTCAGTCCTCCGTGAAACTCGGAAGGATCCTTGACATTGGAACAGTCCTTCGGCGGGGGTCAATGACATAGCGTCCTTCAAATTCATCTGTTTGAGGATCCTTCCTTGACTTTGAGAAACACCAAGTTTATAATGCCGCTGGACGATGTCAGTTTGACATGCTGCTGGAAAACAACGTAAAATAAGGAGCTGGAGAGTCGCTACAGCCCCAGAAGCCTGATGCTCACTTCCTGTATGAATGTTGAGCCAAACTACAATGTTTTTTTTTTTCTAAACCTGACCATGTGCTTTTGTTGTACAAGCCAATATTTGTAAAAACAAGGTGACTTACCAACATTTTAAGTTTATTTTGAAAAAGATTATATGCATAAACTATACAATTCCTGTGAAAACACAAGTGTATTTTATAAAGCTACAATGCATGTAACAGGCTTAAATTGACATGGCGTCCCAGAGGGTTAACAACAGACCAAGAGCGTCATATGTAGACGTTAAAAATCCACTGAACAAGCAGCGATATGTGACGAGCTGGAAGTAAGAATGTGTTGGAGAACATGTCATACGAACTAATTTGTTTCTGGCATACTTCAAACTACCTCATAGGCTATCTTAAACTTAATATGTGGGTCCCTGCAGCAGTCATTCTTTTCACCCTCTGTGCATTATGTAGGCACATACCCTGTTGCCTTACAGTACCTCAGGTACAGAGCACACAACAGACTACGCTGCACACTACACACGGCGGATTCATTATATTTTGCCTTGAGCTCTTTAACCTCCTGGTCCACTGTTCTCTGTGTGTCACAAGGTATGTGGTAATTTGATTATGTACAAAATTAGAAAGAAATATGTACCATGTAAGCATAAAGGCCCATTTATGCTCAACGTTAAGTACCGATCCGGATACGGACAGAGCCTTCTGTCCGTGCTCCACATTCATTTCGTCCGTATTTCTGCACGTTTCAATAAAGCTTACGGATACGGGCCAAACAGAGCAGTACCACCGGAAACCATGGGGGCAGTGTTGCTGTCACCAAAACTTTTCCGTCTGAAACGCTGAAAATAAAATAAAAGAGGGAGACAGGTTTTTCCTGTTTTATCTTATGTTGTTATATTTCTCCCTCTCCCCTCTCTGGGAGCGTCCACCGCCCGCTGCTGTCTCAAACACGGAGGCCTCCCTCTCCGTGGAGCCCGCCCTCCCGGCCCTGCACATACTCCCGAGGCCCGGGTCTCCCTCTCCGCAGAGAGGACATTTCTATTGGAGTTGTGCTATAACTAGACTTTACTGCTGTGTAGTGTTTATTTTAATGATGTGCTACTACAAGGTATTTACATATGTTATGAGTATATAGCCTAGTATATTACTGTATACAGTATGTGAATACAGTATGTGCTGCCCAGCAACCCTGTTTCTCTACCCAGAGAAGGGTGTCACAGATTTATCTCAGTCATGAAATCCAAGTTTTATTTCACAGAGCTGCAGTGATTTTGACAGCAGAAAGTACAACTTCATAGCCAGAGAATAAATCTGAAATTCACTCGCCCTCTTTATCTCTCCCCGTTCACTGCTCTGCTTCACTGTACTTCACTCTGACATGAAAGCAGAAAAAACCTGTCTTATACTCTGAATGGAGACAGGGACATTCACTCACACAGCTCTGCACTCTGCAAAGCAAAGTCATTCCATCTTTCAAAGCTGAGTTTTAGCCATATTTCCTTTCAACATGTCTTTATGTGGAGCAGTGCATTAGTGCTGTCACACCAC